ACTTTTGCTGNTAAGCAATGTTAATAAAGTTTGTCTTAAAGAAACAATATGATTTCACTAAAAATCAATTTCTACCCCTTCTTATTTTCATTTCCACATTACGAAGTTTCACTTATTCCGCGAGGAGGGACTCCACACACTATTTTTTTAGACGCACTAAAGATTCTGTGTAAAATCTTAATTATCATGCAATACTATACTACTTTGATCTTTTTACACGACTGAAACCGGTTTGCACTGGTTTACGTTCTTGTATTATTGTAATTGGTTAACATTGTCCTGCAAAACGTTAAAGATAAATACAAAAAGGAAGTATATAAAAATCTCTTGAATGAAAAACCATTACATTTGGTTCCTTGGGGTATTCATCCACTTTTCCTTCGAGGTTAATATCTTACTTACCTGTACTATGCATGATTCTTTATCGCATTACGAGATCATTGCCAACAAAACCAATTATTTTTAGTTTTTGAAATGCCGGATGCTATTTAGGCAAAGTATGAAATAATCGTCCTGATGAGGTTATTATGTAAATGATGTGCATGTTACTGTGAATGACCGAAATCGGTGGTTTTTCACTTTCACCGGTGAATGTTGACAATCAAATTAGTCGCTTTGGTGAATGTCCGAAATATTTATTACATCCGATTTGATATTAATTTATTCGTGGATATAATTACATTTATTCGATATTTTAATACTTACTGAAGATAGATCAGAACAAACATCAGTGTTTGGAGTATCGGGCAAATATATACCGGGCAATGGCATTTGACTTTTAAAAAAACGTCAGTGTAGGGTATACCGGGCAGTGGCACTTGACCTTTAGAAAACATCAGTGAAGGGTATACCGGGCAATGGCACTTAACCAGACCTAGTATGACTAGACCTTAGGTAATCCGAAATATGTACCTGGTCTAGTGCCACTTTTGCTATAGCTTAAATATTTTTTAAAAAATTAAACAAAGCGTTTGAATCAATTTTAAACTGATAACGAAATTATTGCTTTAAAATTAAAAAAATAAGAATAAAAACTGCGCCAGATAAGAGTAATTGAAGTAGTTGCTTTAGACAGCGCATGTGCGGAACAAAATTTTAAAAAAAATTATCCAAGTGCATCTAAAAGTGGATGAATATCCCAAGACACCATTACGGTTATGTTTAAATATAAAAGTATTGCAAAACTCGTGAAATACTTGTCATTATTAAAAAACTACAGTGCGTTTAATAACTGGGACTGTAGAGCTCGAGTATTTATACTTTAATTCTAATATTGGTTCTAATATAATACTCTGGTATCTTAAAATGAAACTTTTCAGAATTGAATTGTGGCAAACCATTAAATGAAAATTGTGGACAATGGATACCTTTGAATATTTCTTTTATTTTTGTTCTCATTTGTGATAGTGGATATCATATTGAAGGTTCTTCTCCAGTTATTCAATGTCTTCCTAATGGAACTCATACCTTTGCAGTGTGTCGTAGTATGAATAGAAGTAACCGATTATTTTTACTTTACTGTGTATGTTGTTGACAGTAATGCAAAAAAAGTATACTCTTCTTATAGGGCATCGAATAATTTAGCCTATATATACACTTCCATTTATCGAACTTGCATTTTGCAAATTTCTCTATTTTGCGATTTTTTTTCCGAGTAATCAAGAACATTTTGGAAATATCTTCGTGAAATAGCGAAGTGAATTTGCTATTTAACGAACTTCTCTTTAATATTACCCACTTACCAAATTATTTCAAACTTGTTAACGCATTTTATGGGGGAAATGACCTTGAATTGATTTTCGCAGCCACTAAACTTTTAGAGAAAGCTGTAAAATCCCCTTTTTGTTTGCATTTCATGCAGGAATCCATGCCAAAAATCAATTTACGAGAAAGCATAACAGAAATTTCTAAATGGAATTTTTGCTGAAGCTTTGATGTTACAGATCGTACTATTCGTAACAGTTTTGCTAAAGCTGTAGAGAGTTCTTAGTTCAGTGCGGAAGACGTGGGTGCTTTGGAAGAACTTTGTGGGTACAGTTAAGAGAGAACCACGAAATTAATTATGATGTATTGATTCGAAGCTGTAACAACAAAAACATTAACTGAAACGGATATTTTGGACAGTGTGGAAAACAATACAGCAATAAATTCTGAGACGGAAATGATGTTAAAATCATTTGAAACAATTTGATAGTAGATAATAATTTATAAGATAAAGGTGTATCAATTGCTATTTAAATTATGTCTAGTGTTTATAAATTTTTTAAATCTGTTTTGCGCTGTTTAAGTTTTTCAATTGATGATTTTCTATTTAACGAATTTTTTTAATAGCGAACTTTTTATCGGAATTCAGAGACTTTGTTAAATAAAGGTTCCAACTGTATATAATATTATTGATGAAGAGAACCTCAAAATTAACCTCAGCAACAATTACATACTATTGAACGACTAATTTTAGTTCTAATATTTGCAATATTTTTCTTTTCCTACAAGAATATAGATTAATAAAATCATATGTTCTTATTAATCCTTCTTTCTCAGATTTATTCCTGTTCTTTTATTTATTAATTTTAATGATTTGATATTTAGCTAAACAAATATGATACACTCATGGACAAAAAAATTAGTGCACCAAGAAGGAGTCGTCAAAATGAAACGAAATTTTACTTACGCAATGACTATTTTGATATAAGTAAATGATTAGAAAATCAAAGATTATCGTTTTTCTTTGGATCGATCGAATTGGATTTACACATGGAAAAATTATATAAATTAACAAAGAAATCTTTTTAATAAATAATTTTAGCCACAGATTTGACCGAAATGGATTTGCACATGAAAAAATTAGATAAATTAACAACGAAAAATTTTTTAGTAAATAATTTTAGCCGCGGATTGGCCCGAAATGGATTTTTACATGGAAAAATTGTATAAATTAATAAAGGATTTTTTTAGTAAATAATCTTAGCCACGAATTGGCCCGAAATGGATTTGCATATGGAAAAATTATATAAATTAACAAAGGAATTTTTTCAGTAAAGGAATTTTTTAGTAAATAATTTTGACCACGGATTTGCCCGAAATGGATTTGCACATGGAAAAATTATACAAATTAATAAAGAAATTTTCTTAGTAAATATTTTTGGCCACGGATTAACCCGAAATGGATTTGCACACGGGAAAATTATATAAATTAACAAAGAAAATTATCTATCTATCTATATATATATACACTGGTGTGCAAAACTTAAGCAACAAGTGCGTTTTTTGTCATAACTCTACAAGAAATCATCCGATTGACATGAAATTAGAATATGATGTACATTATTTTGTACTTAAACGATGGTAAAAGAATAATGGCGCAGAAATGAATATAAAGCTTAAAGTAGGGTATGGAACAAAAAAGGCTTTATTTGACATATAGTGGCGTTACACATGATTGCCTGAAGAAGCGTAAGTACAACTGGCAGATGTTCCCTAGTATGGGATATGCCCTCCCCTTACTGTAATTGTTGCTTGGCATCGTCTCTCCATGCTAAGCACCAGATTATCCAGGAGTTCTTGGGGTAAACGTCTCCATTCCTCCTTTAACGCATCTTTCAGCTGATGGGTGTTACCAGGAGGATACTGTCGTGTCGCAAGACGTCTCCCTAATGCATCCCACACATGCTCTATGGGATTTAGATCTGGAGAGTAAGCTGGCCAATCCATTCGTGTGATATCTTCACTTTCCAGTAGCTCTTGAACATTAGCAGTACGGTGTGGCCGGGCATTGTCATCCATAAAAATGAAGTCTGGTCCAATGGCCCCTCGGAACAGACGCACATGGGGTAGGATTACCTCATTGCAGTAGCGGTCTCCAGTTACAGAACCTCGGTCGAAGATCTGAAGCTCAGTCCGCCCGTTCAACATAATGCCACCCCAGACGACAACTCCAGGACCACCGTAACGATCTCTTTCCGCGATGTTATTGGGATGAAATCGAGCTCCAACCTCTCTCCAGATCAACTGACGTTGAGAATCGCTTGTAGCACTAAAACGACTCTCATCTGTGAAGAGGACGCGACTCCATTGATGAGGTGTCCAGGTTTCGTGTTCTCTGCACCACTCTAAACGGTGCCGCCGATGGCTAACTTTTAAAGGTATGCAGCGTTCAGGACGTCTAGCAAATAAGCCACCTTTGTGGAGGCGTCTGGCCACTGTAAATCTTGATACTTGTCGTCCTGTGGCTGTGCACAGTTGCTGAGATATGGCGCTCGCTGACTGAAAACGGTTTCTTTTCGCCTGGAGGACAATGTAACGGTCATCTCTTGGTGTTGTTTTCCTTGGACGGCCACCACCAACCTTCCGAACAGCTGTACCAGTAGTTTTAAAGGCATTCCAAGCACGAGAAACAACACTTTTGTTGCTCCCGAACTCTTCGGCGACACTGGTCACACTACGCCCCTCCTCAAGCTTCCCAATCATTCTTCCTCGAGTAAAGTCGTCTAAATGATTTCTTGAAGACATGTTTCACAAAACAAATCACTTGCAGCGAATGTCTTTAACTACTGTGCTCTTCCTCCTTTTATCACGGCTTTGACCTGCGCGCGCTGACCCACAAGGTTTACGTACACTTACATCACCTACGACGTTTTATTTCTAAAATTTGCATACAAATAATCTTTCTACTGAATTACGTGCATATTATACTGCAATTTCATGACTATCTTATACTTTGTTGGGAAGCTGTGGCCGAAAAACCACTTGTTGCTTAAGTTTTGCACACCAGTGTATATATATGTGTGTGTGTTACGGTAAATGTGATTAATCCAGTGATTATATATAATAACCGGTAATTACACGTAATCACCACTAAATTTTGGTAAATATGATAATTTTTTGAAAAATGATCAAATTAACTACTTTGTTTGCATAATTCCCAACTCATAATGGTGAATCTCTCTAACAATGTGATAAACAAGGAAGGCTTTCAAAGTTGTATACCAGAAATCAATTCATAATTTATGAAGAAAAATTTATTTCGCTTAATGATGATCCAGATCTGGACAGCTTTTTCTGGAGGTCACGGATATGATATCGCGAGTCTGATAAGTGCAAATGTGAAAAATCTGTCAAAATATGCATAAATAAGTAATCTTAAAATATTTAGTAATTTGTAGTAATAGCATTTAATGTTATTTATTTTATGTGCAACTCTTTGTTGTATTTCAAAACACCGTTAAATAAATGTATGTGACTTCAAATAACCATTATGAGGTTTAAAAAACTAAAATAACAATAATCCTATTTCTTCATCAAAAACTCTATCATAGTAAGGCTCGATAGAAATTTCTCGAAACAACGGTGATATCGGTTTTTGTTCTAGTCTTTCTTCAAATTTGACTTCATGCGTAGTTTTTTCTTAATTTAACAAACTCTTTAAAATAACTTTATTAACCAATATAAATGTGAGATTGTCTTAATGAAAATGCTTATAGCTGCTCTACAGCAACTGTATTTCTTTCACATGAGTATTTTCGACAGCCTTTTTTCAATAACCTGTAATAAACAAAACTTTATATCAATTCAAATAGATTTTAATAATCAAATTAAGTAAAGCAATTATAGACGAGATTGTTGCCCTAGCTTAAAAATGAGTATATAGTATCTATAGACACAGAAGAGGGGAACAAAACAATAGAAAATGAAGAATTTTAGGGTTCAACAACAATATTTAAATAGAAATAGGGGAGAGTCGTGTTGCCCCGCCCACTTAAGGAGTATTGCTTATATTTCTGTATAATATTGAATATTAATCAATATTGTTGCATGTTTCTATTGTTTTATCATCTAATTAAGTAATGCAAAAAGAATGAACCAAAAAAGAATAATTTTTCTTAAAAAAATAGAAATTTAAAAAAACATGTTTTTCAGCTCTTTTCAAAATGTATCGGGTCGCCCCGCCCAGTTACAAAAATTATGTTTTTTGACTGTATTTTCAGGTGTAAATGAAAATGACCAATGTATTGACAATAGATAAACCTCATTTATCATCTTTCGTGAGCATTG